GGGGATTTTGTTTTTTTAAAATGAAAAAGAAATTTTTTTTTTGTAATTTTTTTAAATTTTTTTTTATTTTTTTTTTTTTTTTTTTTTTTTTTTTTTTTTTTTTAGGAATTGCGAATGTTAATTATTTACAAATATTTATTAGAGATTAGATAGTTTACTTTGTGATATGATAATTAACAAATTGTTTGTATGGATGCTAAGTGTTATGTTGCAATTAAAGTGCAATATCGCGGCTAGAATGTTAGATTGCAATGAAGTTGTTACTAATTAATTTAATTGTATAAAAGAAGCTCAAATTCAACTTGCTTGTAAAATAACCTTAACATTCTAATAAAGTTTTAAAAGTTAACTTATTTCTAAGTTAATAAATTAGTTTCAACTAAATAAAACGTTTTTCTTAATTCACTAAACCAAAATTATTGCTAATAAAACTAATTTGTTAGTAGCCAATTCATAATCATAAATTTTATATTGTTATCACGCTCCCCCAAACAATAATTGGTGACAATACCATGAATTGACTATTCAAATATGGACATTCTTTTTCAATCGGGAGTGATGTTGAGAATTAAGTGAATTAAATGTATAAAATTATTTTATTAAATTTATTGTTTTTTCTTAAGCCTACTGACAGGTTTTGCTATTTTTCTATAAGGAAATAACAATTCTCTATTATTATTATTATTATTAGTATTAGTATTATTATTATTGTTATTATTATCATCATTAAAATTATTATTATTATTATTATTATCATTATTATCATCATTGTAATCCATTGTTATATCCATATCATCAGATTCGGGCCAAGTAAAGAATGTTTGAGATGAAATAGTGGTAGTTGATGACGATGGGTTTGGTAGTGATGATGGTGGTGGTGGTGGAAATGATGATTTTGGTGGTGACGATGATGATAGCTTTTTCTTCTTTTTTAACCTTTTCTCCTATTGTTAAATAAAATCAAATAATGTTATTTTGTTTTTTTTTTTTTTTTAAAAAAAATTATATTTATGATCTCAATTCAGCATATTGCTATAAATTCTTATTTGAAAAACAATGACTCTGAATGAAAAAATTGACACCACATTAACAAATAATGAGGAACAATTCTTAATCCATTTACACTACATTACCCAAAATAATGTAGAAAAATGAACCGTAATAAAAACCACAATAAAATTGACACCACATTAACAAGTAATGAGGAACAATTCTTAATCCATTTACACTACACTACCCAAAATAATGTAGAAAAATGAACCATAATAAGAACCATAATAAAATTGACACCACATTAACAAGTAATGAGGAACAATTCTTAATCCATTTACACTACATTACCCAAAATAATGTAGAAAAATGAACCGTAAAGGAGAACTACTAGCATTTTAATTTTTTTTTAAATTTTTTTATTTTTATTTTTCTTTATTTTTTATTCTTATTTTTATTTTTATTTTATTTTTATTTTTATTTTTATTTTTATTTTTTTTTGTTTTAAATTATTTATTAACATTTAGAATACATATAAAAGATCAATACAAATGATAATTCTAAATGTTAAATTATTTTTTTATTTTTATTTTTATTTTTTTTAAATTATTTATTAACATTTAGAATACATATAAAAATCAATACAAATGATAATTCTAAATGTTTAAATTATTTTTTATTTTTATTTATTTTTTATTTTTATTTTTTTTTATATATTTTTAAATATTATTTTTTAATGCTAGTAATTCGGTAATAAATATCATCATCATCATTGCTATTTATCTATCTAGCCAATTCATCATTAAATGAGTAGGATATCTTTATGAATAATATATATCAAATGTACCTGATAATGCTTCTTCAACAAAGCCCCTGCCTTCTCCTTCCTTTCCACCGCCTCCTCTTCCTCTATTTTTTTCAACTCTCTGATATAGTGCACTAGTATATCTTCTTCTTTGTATTTGAGTATTGTTAGAAAAATTTTAAAATGGTCATAAGACCAGTCCTCTTGTTCAAAAAAATTTTTTAGGTGAGAATTATCGCATTTCATTTTAAAAAAATTTTTAAAAGAAATCTTTACCCTTATTTGTGATACCTAATGATTATATACAGGACAGCAGGGTTGTCAATGGGTCAATTGAGACCAATTTCTAAATATGTTTAAAATGTTACATCAACAGACCCAACAGACCATCAATGGACCAGCACCATGACCAACCCTGCAGGACAGCCAAGTTGTTTATATATATATAGCATATAGAAAAAAAACCATATTTCTATTACCATTACTGTCTTCAATATACTCGGGTTTATAAAACTGTTTTTTTGTAAATCTCTAAAACTTATTAACCAATACTAGACAAGCTTGGAAAACAAGCTTTGTAAAATAAAATTGATTAATGTTTTTATAAATTGATTAATGTTTTATCAAGCATTCAATAGTTGTATGTATAACAGGCGGGTTTGATGCTTATTTGATGTAAAAATGAAAATACCATCCATATAAGTATTTAATATTAATAGTTTTTTCAAAATTAAAAAAAACAAATAGTTCTTTACCTATTACCATATATCTTTGTATCCCACTAAGTACTTGATTGAATTGAGTGATCTTAGATTCAAAAGAAAGCCTGAATTCTATTTTACATTTGATTTCTATGAAATGAACAAATGTTCATATGTGATTTATTATCAATTTGAATAATGGTTTTATTATTTCTCTTTTCTCTTTAAACATGAAGCATTGATAAAAATAGATGATAAAATCAGATTTACTAAACTCATTTTAAATAAACAAACAAATAATTGTTTATAGTTAGTTATTCCTGAAATATCAATTAATTAATTCAAACCCAAAAATATCAAAAAAATAACAAAATTCTCAGGTTCAAGTATTATTATCAATTTGAATAATGGTTTTATTATTTCTCTTTTCTTTTTAAACATGAAGCATTGATAAAAATAGATGATAAAATCGGATTTACTAAACTCATTTTTAAACAAACAAACAAACAAACAAATGTTCATGTTTTTGCATTGTATTATTTATAGTTAGTTATTCTGAATTTGTATCAATTAATTAATTCAAACCCAACAAAAAAATTAACAAAATTCTTGGGTTCAAGTATTCTTTGTCATAATTTATAAAGTGGTGAAAAACTGATTTATTTTTTTATTTTTCTTTATTTACTGAATTGGAATTTAAAGAAAATTTTGAATATAAATGCAAGACGTTTTTTGCCAGCTGTACTATTAAAAAAATAATCAATAAAGTATCTCTAATAAACATTTTCTTTATTCAAATTTTCTTTTTACAAGCTCTATTATTACAAATCTAATTCTTTTCCTCAATTAAATTTTTCCTATATATATATCAACAAATTTAATCACATTAAAAATGGTCAAATACAATAAAAGACAACATCAAATTGCAAGATTAGCTAAAGCTAGAAGAAGTCGTTCTGAAAGCAATTCAATGAATTTAAATACAAATGATGTTGAAATGGATTTAATTGAACCTGAATCTGAACCTGAAATTCAAATTGAAGCTGAACCCGAAATTCAAACTGAATCTGATTGGAGTTCTGATGACAACGAACCATGGGATGATTTGAGAATGGACAGAGATGATAATGCTGATCTTGTATGTGGATGGTGGGAAGAGGCAAAACAAACTTTCAAAGAAAATGCCATTTCAATAAAAAGCAGGTCTTTTTACATGAAAGATTCAAAAAGAACGCTATGAAGGCAGGCTAGTCAATTAAAACAAGCAGCAGAAGGATCAAAGAAAATCACCAATTTTTTTAACCTTCAAACTTCCAGTGAAGATCAACCTGAAGATTCAGAGCAAAGTGGTGTTGAATCATTAAATTATGATCTTGATGATGATTATTATTTTGATCTTGGTCTTGAAGATGATAGTAACCTTATGAATAATGACTGGAAAAGTGCAATAAGTTCTGTTGAGCGAGCTCTTGGAAGACCTAAGTTAACCAATGATGTAAAGTCCAAATTAATGGCAATTGAAATGTATTTTAGACATTTAGATAATGGCAAAAAACAGATTGAAGCAAGTGAAATAGTTGCAATATCTCTAGGGTGGGCAAAAGTTTATAAAGGAAGATGCATTAGAACTTGGGCTAAACAATGGGTCCAAAATAAAAAATTACCTGAATCAAATAGAGGAAAACACCCAAAAACAAAAAGCCTTTTGGATCATGAAGATGTTGCTGCTCAGATTGGAAGTCACTTGAGGTCCAATAAATTTGATATAATGCCTAAAAAATTATGTAAACATGTCAATGATGTAATATTGCCTAATTTTGGAGTGGAAAATGAAAACAAGAAAATATCCGAAAAAACTGCAGCAAGATGGCTCAAAAAATTAGGATGGGTGTTTGGTGCTTATAAAAAAGGATTCTATCATGATGGCTGATGTTGTTGAATATAGAGAAAAATTTTTAAAATTTATGGAAGTGGAATACGAACCTTATGCTCCAAGGTTTGAGGGAGATAATTTAGATGAAAGAATTGACCCTGTATTAGAAGGAGGAGCTAAAGTAAGACATATAATAGCACATGATGAATCTACTTTCTATTCAAATGAAAGTAATAGTCAAGGTTGGACTCTAGAAGGTGAACAACCTTTAAGAAAGAAGGGGAGAGGGAGGGCTTATCATGTTAGTGATTTTTTAAGTGAAACAATAGGTCCCTTACATCTAAATGATGAAGAACAAAATCAATTCCCCCACTTACCTAAACAAAGCCGTGAATGTATTATATCAGGATCAAATCATGATGGGTGGTGGACAACAGAAAAATTAAAAAATCAAATAATTAATAAAGCAATACCAATATTCGAAGCCACTCATCCAGGTTGCATTGCTCTATTTGCATTTGACAATGCAACTTCTCATGCAGCCTTTGCTGATGATGCTTTGGTTGCATCCAATCTAAATTGGAATGATGGTGGAAAACAACCAAAGATGAGAGATACTGTTTTCAATGGTGCAATTCAACAGATGACTTACCCTAGTGGAGAACAGAAGGGAATGAAAACAATTTTGCAAGAAAGAGGATTACTTAAGGAAGGATTAAAAAAGTATGTTCTGACTGTAAAACTAAAAAGTTAAGGGAGCAGAATACAAAAACAGATTGTTGTGGACTGAAGATTCTGGAGTTACAACCAGATTTTGAGTCACAAAAGGGAATTATTCAAGAAACAATTGAAGGGAAGGGACATATGGTGATTTTCTACCCCAAGTTCCATTGCGAATTAAATTTCATTGAAATGTATTGGGGTGCAGCCAAGAGATACACAAGAGAAAATTGTGACTACACCTGGGGTGGACTCTTGGAAACAGTACCTTTGGCCTTGGACTCTGTTCCAATTTCATCAATAAGAAGATATGCATGTAGGTCTTTCAGATATATGGATGCATAGCATAATGGACACTCATTTTGTGCAACAGTCATTTGTATAATAGTCAGGTGGTTACACAGAGCCCGTTGCTTCTGAAACTTCACTAGAATATAGCTGTAGCCTCTCTAAGTCCAGATCATCAGCAAGATCAAAATTATCTCACACTTTTATAATCAAACTTTTGCAAGAACTTTCACCATAACATATGTTATGTTGATCATTTTTTTGTGATCTGCAACAGTGTCCACTATGCTTGGATGCATATAGAAAAGGGTTGACTCTTAATGCTGCAGAATATGCTGTAAAAAAATATAGTTCCCATAGAAAAATTCCCAACAGTGTATTGTGTGATCTTGAATCTATTATGAATTAATATTAATTTTATATATAGTATTTATTTTTTTCCATTCATATATATAATAAAATAATGTAACTTAATAAAATATTATGTAAAAAAAAAATTATTTTGCAAATTAATAATGTTCCTGTTTCCTGTTCCTTGTTACACAGTCAAAATTAAATTTTATTGGCTGATCAGAAGGAACAGGAAACGATTTTTAAAAAAAAAATAAGAAATAAAAAAAATAAAAACAAGAAAACGAGAATATCATAAAATAGCTTCTACTAATAATGTACAACAGCCTCGTCCAGTTCAAAGAGTAGCTTCTATTAATGACATGCAACAACAACAAAGCATTTATCCGGTTCAGTAACTTCTACTAATAATAATGATGTGTAACAACAAAACTTTCATCAAATTCATCCAATTCAGTTATTTCTTGGAATAGATTTAGAAACAATGCCTCTTCAATTCTTTCACAAGTTGACATATTTTTTAAAAAAACGCGTGTAGTTCAGTCCCAAATATAGAAGTTATGGAAACAACTAGGAAATTTCTGCTCAAAGTTGATTACCTAATAAGGTATTGTACAACAAGGAACAGGAACGGAACAACTTTGAACACCCCTATTATCTTCATTATCTATAGTATTTTCATCCTCTTCATATAGGATAAATTTTCTTACATGGTGCAATGTGTTCTTAAATTTAAATATTAATTATATTAATATTTAAACGGAAAATTTTTTTTTATCACCATTAAAGGTCACGTGATACAAAAATTTTATTGCATTTTTGAGCATAACTTACAATTCTGAGATTTGATTCTTTCCCCAAAATTGGCCACGGGGCGCAGTAAGTTGCGGGACTAGGTGACTTGCACTATATGTAAATTCGAATTTTACTATGATGCAGATCACCCAAATTTACTATGTTTTACACCCCCTTATAGATCTGCGGGAAATGTCTTGTGACTATTTACCATACATTTTTTGTACTAACAAACATGGAAAGAAAAGGTACTAGTACAGCTTTTCTATAAGAATTTCTCATAGAGAAAATTACTTGAAAATTTAATAACTTGATGATTAGATTATAAAACTGGCTAATAATTATCAAATATTGTTAATTTTTTTCAGACAAGCATTCATTGAAGTCTTAATGTTATTTGGTGGTAGTGTACAATTATACTAGTTACAAAACTTTATCACGCAATATCATGTGATTGAACTTGAACTTTGAACCAAACTCGAACTAAACTTATGGATACAGTTCAAATTTGGTTCGAGTTCAACCATTATCTGTTCAAGTTAGTTCAGGTTCAAAAAACATTGATATGGCATGTTTAGAGATGGGCATTAGAAAAATTACGTTAAAAGAAAACGTTAAAAGGAATATTAATATTAAATTTTTACTTTTACATTTCATGCATCGATCTATATATCTTTTTACACTTTCTCAACTATGTAAAGAACCTCTTCTCAAATAAAATAAAAAAATCGTGAAAGCACTTTAAAGAAATCGAATATTTCCCCGTACAACGTAAAATTAATAATTAACCACATATTAAAAATTTTTCGGTTTTTTTATTCCTTTTTTTTTAATTAAGGATAACGAACGTACTCATCATTTGTAATTCTTTATGTAGTAGATTAAATTTGAAATTAAAAAAAAGAAATTTTGGCTGGGCTCTTGAATCTCGGTTTTCCTAGCAAAAGCCACCCAACTAGTTACTATGATCATTGTCTTACATCCAAAATTTTGATTTACCAAATGTGGGTTTGTCCACAATGTTTATTCTATATATAATACAAATGTGGAAAAAAAATTTATAAACTTTTTTATATTTAAAAATGTTAAAAGTAATGAAAGAGGAGGCCGCAACTAATACTACAATATCTTCTACTCCCACTGCTGCAGTCAACACCAACACCAGCACCAACACTAACACTCATAATAATAATAACAGTAATAATAATAGCTCATCATCTGAATCAAGTTACAATGTGAACCAAAGGTGTATATATTTATATTTTAATATTTTTTTAAATTTAATACCTTGCTACTTAACTAACTAATTAATTAATTAAGCGATAGCTCTAATGCTTTGCCTAAAATCGATCGCCCTCAGGAAAAAATGTATCATTACGCTGAAGGCGAAACAATCGATTGCGCCATATGTATTGAACAAGTTGAGTCAAAGCATGCTCAAGTTAGATTATCTTGTGGCCACATTTATCATTTGAATTGCATCGGGTTTGTGAAATATTTATTTATTTTCAACTTTTATGAAATAACAAAGTTAATTAATATTTTATAAATTAATCTAGATCTCATTTCAACATTTCTGGTAATAATGATATAAAAGTTATTTAATTCATTCAACAAAATAAATAATAATATTATTATTAATTATAGGTGACTACAAATGTCCATACTGTCGGCTTGAAGTAGAAAAAATAGTTAAACAACCAAGAAGCTGGGAATTTCCTATAAATGGTCATCCTAATTCGCAAAATATAAACGACTCTGCTGAAATGCCTCATCCTGGTGAATTAGATTTCGCCAATTTTCAACGCGGTATTGAAATATTTAAAATATAATGTTTAAAAAATGTTTCTTGAGATATATTTATTCTTATTCACATATGTACTTGTACATATTAAATGATTTAATTAGGTGTTTTACAAGTCGTAAATTCCATTTTTCGAGGCAGACTTAACCTAGGACATCCTTTCCGCAATGATAACGATCCAGAAGATGATTTTTTTGAAACTGACAAGTAAGAATTTTTTAAAAAAAAAATAATATTAATATTATATTTATTTGTATATTTATTTATTTATTTTAGTGATGATAATTCAACTCATGGCCAAGATGAAATCAATCAAAGAAATAATGTCAATTTACTTGAAATTACAGACAATGAAGATGATGATAATTCTTCGGATGAAGATGGTGACTTCGACACAAATGATTCAATGAATCATTATCGAACATTCACTACTTCATATTATAATAGTAGTTCTGAAAATTTACCTTCACAAATTAGGAGAAACGGTCGTATCATGCATTCACCAACGAATGATTCTAATAACAGATTTTATGATAACGTCAACAACAACAACAACAACGACGACGACGACGACAACGACGACGACGACGACAACAACAATAATTATGATGATGATGATGAAAGTGAAATCTTAGATAACGAGGATAATTTATCGAGGTCATTATCATCAACTTTGAATCTTAATGATCATAGTAATACCGCTAGTTCACATTCTAGATTAAATTCAACAAGATCTCACTCCCGTACAAGGTCACGTTTTTTTCGAGAATCTGTTAGGAATGGATTTACAGGCTTAATTAGAAACAGGTTGAATGCAGATCAAGAAAGAAGGGGTCACTTGAGAGATGTTCGTGATTTCAGAGATCTTAGTCCTAATTTTTCATCAAGAAGACGTGAAGGCAACAGACAATCAACTATTTCATCAAGATATCGAAATAATGATTCTTCTAGACGCAATATAATATCTTCAGAAATTTCAAGTAACCAAAATTCATCAGAATTAAGAGATGATAATAGATCATTCTATACTAATATTACTAATATCAATAATAACGAAAATCTTTATAACAACAATAATGATAACAACAACAACAACAATAATAATAATAGCATCAATCGCCGTCATAATAATACTAATTCATTTTTGTCACAAACAATTCATGATATATCAGCAAACACTTCATTTAATCCTCTACATGATAGTAATGCAGAATTCACGAATTCTTTATATCGTCATTCTACATCATCATCATCATCATCAAGATTAAGAAATACATATGTCGATGACTCATCGGCAACAGAAGAATTTATGGGATCATATAGTAGTAGTAATAGCAGCAGCAGTAGCAGCAGTAGCTCATCAGAAAATTCTGCTGCAGAAGATGAAGATGAAATGATGTTTGAGAGTACATTCAACTGGGGTTTGTATAAATAATTCATTATTATTATTTAAATATAAATAGAGTTTTTTTTAATCATAAATTTATGATTCAGATGTTAGTAATGATATGGAAACTTCAGAAGATGATTCAGAAAACGAGCAAACATTCAGATGTTTTTCATGTAATTCTTCTATATCTTCTGAATCACCCACATTCTCTTCTTCATACGAAGAAGATGATGACGACGACGATGATGATGATGATGATGATGATGATGCACCTGTTTCAACAACTGCTAGATCATACATTGAAACAAATGATAACCAACAACATTGGTTTAGACCATGGTCTTGGTATTATCAATCTACTAATATAAACACCAATAACAATTCTAATCTAGTTAATGATAGTGATGTCACAATCAGCAGCGGTGAAGATTTTTAAATTTATTGTTATTATTAGTATATACTTCATAACAATCAAATATCATATATATATGAAATGTAAGAAAAAAAATTTAGTATTTATGACTGAAGTTATTAATTGATTGATTTCACATTTCTTTTTTTAATGGGCGGGAAAGAAAAAAATATAAAAAAATATTAGATGTGTGTTTTACAAAATTAATTAGATTAAAAAATTTTTATTATATATAATTTTTGAATAAATATAAAAATCATTTCAAGATTATTATTGTCACAAGTGAGACATCTATTCTCTGATTATATTTTTATTTTGCGTATAACACGTATTAACATAGTAAGCTTGTGCAAAATGATTCTTAGCTTCAAAACTACGATTGATTTTTTTTGGTTATGTAAAATCACGTGACCACGCTCTACCCTTAATTTGTTGTAACGTGAACTTAATTATATAATTCGTTGAAACGAGTTTGATATTATTATATTATGTAACAATAGCGTCATGAATGGTAACATTGTGTTTGCGTGTAAATTGCATGTAATTATTACGCTATAATTAATGTATATAAGCAACTCAAATTTCTATAGCTGTACATTTATTTCCATTTGGGCCAATAAAAGGTTCGACGACTAAGTGGACTTGCGCTGTATATTAAATACAAACAGGAATTTTAAATTTTTAAAATAAAATATACCTGGTTTGGTTCGAATGCTTTAAATCCGACTTGTTCGAGCTTTTTAATTTATATTTTATCCACTAGTTGGCTTTCTCGGACGAGGTTCATAAAAACCAAAGAATTTATTTCATTGTTGGCAAGTTCATGGATTCTGAATCTGATTATGATACCAGAGAAGTGGTAAAAGTTCTTCTAAGTGATGAAGAGTAAGGAATTAGTCGAAGTTTCAAAGCCATTCAAAGAAGCATACATATCTTGGCAAAAGTGTTTATGTCTCATTTAGTATATTAATATATTAATTGATACAAGAAATTATCCAATCAAAATTTATATCCTTCAATTCCGAATCATTTAATTAGATGATGTTTTTTAGTAATAATTTATTGAAGATGCTCAATAAACGATAAGGTGTACTATATAATGCGATGGATTCTTATTGAAATTATGTAACAGTCATCCGTGATGTCACAATGAGTGATTTTGTTATAGCGATCTACATAGTACTTTTCTGTACAACAGACTTTAAAACCAAAAATGAACGAAAAAGCGTGATCAAACATCCTTCATAATTTCGCTCTTTCAATCACAATCTTTTATACTTCATTAGCTTTTTTCGTTCAAGAG